CGAAGACGGGAAAGATCATCTGCCCATTCTGAGTGTTCCTCTCGAAGAAATGACAGATCAGTTCGGAGATCAAGAACAAGACCAGATATCACGCCTCTCCCGAGCTCCAGCTGCTGCAGAGCATACGAGGCCTCCTTCCCTGCATTCAAAGCGGCGGCGGCAGCGTTGGCGCCAAGACCAGCGAATCGCTTCAGCATTTGTTGCTTGTTGACATTCTGCATATGTCGGGGGCTCAAAGCATGGAGAAGACTGAGAGCACGGTCGAGGTCCGATGAGACTTCCGTCCAGTATTGGAGTAGCAACGATGGATCCGAGGAATCGTGATTCTTCAGCTGCTCCTTAGCAACATCAGCAGCCCGAACCGCAGCATCAATTCGAATCGTGAGCGGTGCAGCTCGAGATTCCCATGCTCGCTGAAAGGCCTCTCTAGAATTCTGCAGATCCGTGACGTCGCCAGTATGGTCAAATCGAGCATGCAACGCGTCCCCCAAGCCGAATTCCAGGTACACTCTCTCAGGAAGACTTTCTGGTAGACCACCATGAATGACTTCTCTAATGATATCAATGGCCTCGTCCAAGTCGGCAGCTTCGCCATAGTGATCGTACTTTTCCTTCAGCAGATTTGAAAGAACGTTCGCCACTGCCGCTCGCATCCCCATTTCATCGCCGTCAACCACCTGAGCCGCTTCTCTACTGAGGTCGATTGCTTGTTGAATGTCCTGTGGATGCTTTGAACCCATGCTGAACCGTATACCCAGGAACTGGCTGAGTCCCCTGAGCCAATTGGTCCGTTCTGGATGATTTGCACGCACCAGGCGCAGAGCTTGTCGCCCGCAGTCAACGGCATCGTCGAGATCGCTGAGGACACCGGTATATTGCGCTCGCTCAACAAGCCTGTTCGCCAAGTTAAACAACTGGACGGGTCTCTCAGTATCATCATTGCTTAGCAACTGCAGCACACTCTTCGTGTATGAAATGCTTGCACTGAGATCGTCAACATCCCCTTGTTGCTCGTAACGGATACCCAGCAAGGTTGCCAGGTAGCTTGTACCAACCACATAGTCTATCTGATTCTTTGGAATCAGTGGCACAGTGGCAGTGAGAACATCGACTGCACGATCCAGATCTTCAATGTTCGCTGTTTGCTCGAACCGCCTCCCCAGAATTCGTGCTAGAGTGTTGGAACCGAATGCCACACCAGGCACGTCCCCCTGTGATTTTGCTGTCTTTACAGCGGCCTCAGCCGTGTTGAGAGCTCGCTCGGCGTCGTCTAGGTTGTGTGTGAGCTCGAACAGCTTACCACGCGAGATAGCAAGCCGACACAAAATCAGGGCAGTGTAACGCGAGTCCTTGGGTATCCTCTCCGCCGCATCTTCACCCACGCTGATGGCCCGATTGATGTCTTGCTTATCTCTCGTGTAGTCGTACCGGTTTTGTAACATTTGGTTGAGGTTGGCTAAAGCTAACATCCGCTGCTCCGTTTCTGGGCGCGTGGCTGGAACATCTTCTTCGGCAAGTTGCACAGCCCTGTTCAGGTCGTTTACGTTTCCGTCGGATCCCGGCATGGAGAATCGTTGATAATATGCCTGGGAGAGGTCGCCCAACAAAGTCGCACGGAACGCATGCTTTTCTGGCACGACCGATAAAACCTGTTCGTTCCACTCGATAATCAGATTAACGTCTTCAAGCGATCCCGTGGAAACACTGAGGAGCTGTTCCAAAGCTCTCGTTGCAGCATTGATGGCTTTTGCGAGTGCTTGCTTCACACCAAGATCATCTGGATGTTGGGAGAGCACCTCCGCAGGCTGGCGGATGGCTTCGACAATCTCCGGAATGTTCTCCATCGGTTATTGGTGGGTCTAGTTGACGACCAGACAAATGCAACGGCAGAAGCGATTCAGAGGAAGTCGGTGTAGGTGTTGGACACGATAAGATCAGATTTAACTGCACATCGAAAGAGCGTCGCTATGTTTGTACCAACGTTAAATACTAAGATTGGCAGCTTCAGAGGTCAACATCAGAATGTTGTAACCGTACAACGCATGCTTTCAGCCAAACAAGAGCGGGGGCTATGTGGCGTTGTCTCGAACGCCATGGCAGCAAGGGAGCGCTTCCCTTGCGGCTGACCTCTCGAATGGTATGTGGCGTTCTTGTTGTCACTTTTGTTCAATGCCGTGGCGGCAAGGATGCTGCAGCCCTTGCGGCTGAACTCCTAAACCGTACATGGCGTGGAAAGCCGCAGGCGTGCTCTCGGTACACATCAGCAGAGCAACCGTGGGGTGGGTGTGATAGTCAAGAGTTGATGGTCCTGCTACGTGAGTGGTATGGAATGTGAAGAATGTATAGAAGCCCAAGGTTTCGCTAGAAGATATACTACCTTAGGTAAATGGAAGAGTGGTCTAGTGGACCACACCACCTTATATATCCATATTATTTACAAAGTGCTTAGATCTCAACGCTTCCAAATAACACGCGATACTAGAGACAATCCTTCCAAATTGTGTTATAGGCTACTATGCATTTGGGTTGTCTTCAGGTATCACTGATTCGATTCAAGCGGATTCTCAAGTCTTGAGGCTGGATGCTGAAGGGAAAATATCTTTGAGAGCTATTTGTAAGCGCACTGAGTGAATGACTAGCTGGTCTTTGGATTGCTTCTTTCAGATTCTCAAAGAAAGGGGTTCGGCAAATAATCACTAATCTCTCCATATAACTCGCACGACGCTCTAAATGACTTGGTTTATAAGCAAGTAACAACGGGTATCCTTGCTATGAGGAACTCCAGCTTGTATTTAAAGCAACAGGCTGCTAAGAAAGACTAGTTCATCCCAAGTCTCTCATCAGTCGATCAGTTCCTCGAATCCTTGTCTCAAGCTCTCTGCCAGTCTCTCAAAACTCATAATGCATTCTTTTATCTTCTCTGGCCTGGCTTTGGCTGCTACTTTAGTACGGCCCGCATACTGCATAGACCTTCCCGACTACACCGGTTTAAAGACAGCTCAAAATGGCAGCGTCTTGACGGTGACCTTTCACAATCCTTCGTCTCCTATCAACTTGTGGAACCTGGATACCCAAAACGATTTGACCGATTTGGTGTCTCGCCTCCAGGCCAATAACGAAACCAAGGTCGTTATCTTCAACAGCGATGTTCCTAGGTTTTTCATGGCGCATCTAGATCTTTCCCTGCCTGAGTTGGCAGATCGTAAGTGCATCCCAAAACTCCGATTGAAGTTACTCTGGGTTTCATGATATAATAACTGACATCTTGAAGCTGCATTTGGCAAAGAATTTGGTACTCTCATCTACAACGTCTCCCAGTTGCACCAAGTCACCATCGGGGCTGTGGAAGGCCGCGCCCGCGGTGCCGGCAACGAGTTCCTCGTTTCTCTCGACATGCGCTTCGCCACAAAGGGCGAGAGCCTCTTCGGCCAACCCGAAGTCGGAAGCGGCTTGTTCCCCGGCGGTGGCGGCAGCCAATTCCTCCCGGGTCTCATCGGCAGAGGCCGCGCCATGGAGTATGTCCTGAGCTCCAACGACATCACTGCAGAGGACGCCGCGAACATCGGATGGATCAACAAGGCATTCAACACCTCCGCTGAAATGTACGGCTACATCGACCAGCTCGCCCAGCGCTTCAGCTGGTTCCCTCTGTCAGCTCTCAGCGGCGGCAAGAAGACGATCAACAGGGCTTCGGCGCCGTCGCTTGAGCAGGTCATTGAGGATACCAAGGACTTCTTCCAGCAACAATTTGACCCGGAGGCGCAGGATATCGCGAAGAGGTCGGCATTGCTGTCTCGCAATGTCTCAGCCGTAGACTTGGAGCTGAATTTGCCTGAGACGATTGCCCGTCTTTACACCTAAGGGGGAAAATCAGTTTGAACTCGCCTGTGTTGTGATTGCCTACCTCAGTGTTGTTGATATCTCAGTTGCGGAAATTTCTTCATGTACCTTAGTTAAACTTTGGAAGATTGGAGTATTGGTACGTAGCTTATCAAAGTAAGCCGCTGCTTCGTCTCCATTCCCATCACCTTGAAGTAGTCCGTAAAATTTTGTCACCATCTCATTCTCAACATCATCCCGTGCTAGGTTTGAATAAGATAACCTTAATACCAAGCCTCCATGATTTTATATGTCGTGATTCGATACATTGAATACCGAACGTCAGCCCATGAGTATTCCTAGATTGGGATTATCGTGACAATACAAAATCCCAATAGAATTGCGTATCGGAACATGTGTCGCCAAATTCACAACTCAAAGAAACCGTGCTCTGAGGGTTTAGGGGACAACCATTGAATTATTTTGGCCAATGGGCGCGCAGATATCGATTGGCTTGAACAGAGCTTTGTCCTGCTGTAATACGCGCGACGAACTCGGGCCCTACGACTAATACCTCCGACTCAGCTGCAGTCAGCGTCAGCTGAAAATGATTAGTGAACGCGTCACGTTGGGCTGATAGAATCGGACCAATGCAAGTTCCGCTTCCGCATTCGTGTATCGCCGGCTACGGGGCGCATGCCAAACCAAGATAAGTCGCAATTTCGCAAATACTTTTCATGCATTTTGAGATAACAAATCTTGGTCGATTGTATTAACTTATGGACTGCTGATCGGATTGGTCAGCGAGTTTTCAACTCGGCGCCGGCTTTCCAAGCTCTTCGAAAACCACAAGGCCGCAGCCATGAACGATGCAGCAAAGACAAAGTCTCCGAGACAAGGCGGGATGTGAACCAATCAGCTGATATTGGCCGCGGCTCTGAAAGTTGACCAATTAGTATATTATGACCCATCAGCTCTGCTAACCGTCGCTGTTACCTAGAGACTTGTAGCATCACGTTGGCTTCTCAGACACCCCTTTACCTCGTTATACCCATTCGAAGCATCATCGAATCAACATACCCAAGTTAGACAGTGCCATATAACAACGCGCCCATTTTTTCCATTCACTACTCCATAAACTCGCCCCCATTGGTAACTTTAGCTCACGCCACGACGTTACCATGACGTTTTCCCCAGAGAAGGACATACCGGACCTGGACGGCAAGGTCATCATCGTTACAGGTGGAAGCAGCGGTCTCGGCAAAGAAAGCGTTATTCAGCTGGCGAAGCATAACCCCGCAGCAATCTACCTCACAGCTAGGACAGAGGCCCGTGGTAATGCCGCCATCAAGGAGGTGGAGCAAGCCGTGCCGGCAGCCAAGAACAAGATCAAGTACCTCGAGCTAGATTTAGGTTCCTTCGCCTCGATCAAGAAGTCCACCGACGCCTTCCTCACCTCAGCCGACCGTCTCGACATCTTGATGAACAACGCTGGTCTGATGGCTACACCACCAGGCCTGACAACAGATGGATACGAAGTTCAGTTTGGATCAAATTACATGGGTCCGGCTCTGTTCACTAAATTGCTGCTTCCGATCCTCAAAAAACACTGCCGAACAGTCAGGATCCGACGTCCGCGTCGTCAACTTGAGCTCAGAGCTGTTCAAACAAGCGCCCTCGGAGGGGATTCTCCTCTCAAAATGCAAGACCCCACTCGACGACATCTCCAGTCTGGCTCGCTATGGGCAGTCCAAGCTCGCAGACTACTACCACACCCGCACGCTGAGCCAACTTTACCCCTCCATCAAGTTCGTTGCAGTCCACCCTGGAGTCGTCAACACCGGTATCTTTGACGACTTCAGAAAGAGAAGGCCCTGGGTCGGCGGAGTGATTAGTGTACTTGGGTCGATCTTCCTGACCGACGTCCACGCGGGTGCGCGAGCTCAGCTTTGGGCCAGCACAGCTGCGAGTGCCAGTGTCAAGAGTGGCGGCTTTTACAATCCGAAGTTCAAGGAGTATAAGGAGGCGAACTTGTACGACGATAAAGCGGCTAAGGAGTTGTGGGATTGGACTGAGAAGGAGCTTGAGGGCCATTGATCCCGTTCCTCTGGACTTCTGAGTATAGGTTCCTTTGGAATGCTGGCCGGGCGATGGATTGCTTGAGAGATGGAAAGCAACTTATGTCACGTTTCTATCTCATCAATTACTTCGAAGCGGAGGGTAATGTTGATGTAAGGTAATCTAAGAAGGGTCACAATTAACTATAGATCAACACAGCCATGATAATCTTGCATTCGCTTCCAAACGCTTTTCCAGAAAATGATATATCAATCTAATGGTCCTCTCTTTCCATTCCCGTTAAGATTATATTTGTGAGATTTTAATGTGGCCTTGCTTGATATGACCAGTTATTGTACAAATCGTGAAAAACATCACGTTCAACTGTAATATGTGTTTAATGCTACCATTAACTATCAATAACCTCGTTTCCCATCATCGAGATCTTGACGCCACTTTCTTGACACTCTTGCCACGAGCAGCTGTCCAGGCCGAGTGTGCCTTAAGCATTTCAGCCACGCGATGCTCAACTGTGGCGCACCGAGGCGCTGTAGAGCTACTTGTAATACGTAGATGAGTGGCTGGAGCGACCATGCGCCGCATATTTGTGGCTGTGCCAAACTTTGGGGAGAATTGTTTCTCGGTTTCGGCCTCGGATGGGATGGTGTCTTCATATGCCCAAGCTACTTGTAACTTGACCAACGTACATTTCCCAAGGTAAGTAGTTTGGTGAGTAGGCATGACCTCCCAAGAGCTGCAATGAAACCGTTAAACCACAGGCAACTTGCGAGCCGGGAATAATGTGGCGTACGCAGCCCCTCTTCTACCGCGAAGTACTTAGCGCTTCATCACAGCTAATTAGCGTGAGACTCGCCCATTCTTTTGAGACGTCAAACGGGAAGAAAAAGGGTCTGATCTCTGCATTGCTTGAGCTTCCCTCCGCATTGCCAGTGGACAGACAGCTTCATCCTTTGACGTCATCGCGAGCCTCATCTGACAGTCTGACATCAAGCTCTCAACGAACCAGCTCCTTGTGCCCCTCACCTCATCATCCCTTCTTTCAGGTACTTGTGTTGTGTCTCATCGCCCTGTGAGCCTGCGAAACCGAATGGTGGCGCTAAGCAATAAGCACTGCCCCCAATGGTCTACTCAGCCGCAGGCAGCCAGCAGATCTCCAAAGTGTCGAGGTTCAAGCTGACGGTAGGAGCTTTGATTCGCATGAGCTTTCACATGCGTCTTACTTAAAACCAGTCGTCATCCCTCGTCTCCGCTGCATGAAGCGTTGTGAAGATTATTCTTTCTATCAACTCCCATTGCGATCTCAGAATTCACGACAGAAAACGGGATAAGAAGACCCAGTAAAACCCCCACGAGAAAACACACGAAATAAGCACGATGGCTGCCCCAGCAGTTCATAGCCTGCCCCAAGCCGGAAACTCGGTCGGCATCTTCCCGCAATTGACGGCGCGTCAGAGCGAGACCCTCGTGCTCAAGAAAAAGATCCTTTCCATCACCGGCGACAGCTTCGACATCAAGCTCGCCAATGGCCAACCGATCCTCCGTGTGCAGGGCAAGGCGCTGTCAATCTCGGGCCGCAAGGCTGTCTATGATATGTCGGGGAATCACCTATTTGATATCGTCAAGGAGCACTTGCACCTCCACACGACATTTGCGGCGCAGGATCCCAAGGGCAACAAGATTATGGAGGTGAAGAATAGCTTTGCTCGTGAGTTTGCTACCCCTACCTACCTCCCTGGTGCTAGTCATAGCGGACAAGAGTACCCAGCTAACCATGTGGGTTGCACTAGTTATCGGCTCAAAAGCTACCGCGACGTTCGTTTCACCACAGACAGGCAAGACGGAATCGCTCGAGATGAAGGGCAATTGGCTATCGACACAGGCCGATATTGTTGACACGAATACCGGCCAGGTGCTGGGGCGAATTGACAGAAACATGCTCCGGGCGCGCGATTTCTTCGGTGGCAAGCAGACGTACGCGCTCACGGTGGCACCGGGGGTCGATATGGCGCTCATGTGTGCCCTGTGCATCTGTCTGGACGAGAAGAAGAATGACAACAAGGGTTAACGGAGAGGTGTGGAGAGTGAAGCACTTTTCTTGTGGCCTTGACGATTAATGCGTTTCTTTATAGTCATTGCGATTGATACCTAAGGTAGTTGAACTGAGTCTTACATTTCGGAATCCCAAGTATCTCTTTCCTATGGTCGCCATCCTTGAAGCAAAAACATGTCACAGCTTCGATAGACCCTGGAAACGGGGGCAACGGCAGAGAAAGGACTTTCTTTTATGTTCTCGTTCCCGCAAGTCAGTCCGATCCTTGGCTCGTCGTCTCGTGCTGCATTCACAACATTCATATGATGTTCCGGACCTCTTTCATCGGCTCGGTTCGGTCCGGGGATCAATCGACAACGTTTCACCGCGATGAAGTGCCGATAAAAGTGCTTCACACAGCCGGCATGCTGCCCCGAACAGCCTTCCCCGCGCATTTCCCCACAAACAAACACCTGGGTCCGGGGAACTTGCATCTAGCGCGCCTGATCGGGGTGTTTGTCGGCGAGCAACCCTAACCACGAGTTTCCTTTGTGGATTTCGCGAGGGATGTTAACATTAAATGGTGATCGAAATGACACTAATAAGCACACGAGACGAAGACAAGGACTGCTCTGCTCGGCTACCGATGGCCCGAGCAGTCATGCTTTCGGTTGCGAGGGTGACGCGACGTAATCTGCTCTGTGTGGATCGTGCGAATATTCCAGACTACAAGATGGCGGCCACAAGCCGAGGAAATCAGGACCGGGATGTTCGTCTTCGATGAGTCTTTCGTTGTGAGAGGAAACTTTGCTGCTTTGCCTCTTCAAACTGTCGTTTGGATCTTTCCTGCCCATAGCACTGGGTTCCAGAAGTAGGAATGGCAGTTTCACGTTTGTTGCTGGCGCTCGCAGCCGGTGCCGTTGGTGTTGTCGCCAATGCGTCAAGCCTCAACTCGACCACGAGGTAAGACACCAAGAGCTACCTTCTCCCAGGCAAGGAGCCCACCCCTAATTTCAAGATTTCAATCAGAAGCTTCACGGCCAAAGGCATCGCTACCGGCACGGCAGCACAGCTGCAAACCTCCCCTTTCGCCCCGTTCACCCTAAGCCCGGAAATCCCGCTGGCCACCTTGGATTACGGAGCCGAGAGAGCGGGTTATCCGATCTTTGAAGTCTCCGCCCTCAGCGCCCCGGCCCAGATCGAGGTGAAGTACACTGAGCACTTTGACGGGCTCGATCATCCGTTCGGCGACGGGCCGTACACCTTCTCCAATCAGCTGAGCAACAGCTTCCGCGTCGAGACGTTCAACATCACGTCTGTCGGCCGAGTCCAATCCCCGCTCATTCAAGGAGGGCAGAAATGGCAATCCATCAGACTTTTGACGAATGGCACTGTCTCTTTCTCGAGCGTGGGCTTCGAGGCGACGATCGATACTATCGAGCCAGAGAAACTTCCGGGGCAGTTTGAGAGTGACGATGAAATTCTAAACGAGGTCTGGAAGCTCGGTGCTCGGGCAGCCACGGCGGCCTGCTTTGACAAGGGCACGCAAACGACAATCTGGGAGGTCACTGAAGAGAACGGGGTGTTTGCGCGTAGCACCAGACCCTCGGTGACATACAAGGGCACAACGTGGAGCAATTACACTCTTGAGTTTGATACCAAGATCGAGAGGGGGGGCAGCTGGTGGGTAACGGTAAGTTCGGACTCACGTAAGGTCCGGGGGAAAGCCAATGCTGATGAGATACACAGGGAGGAGTCATCGCCGGCAATGGATACACCATGCTCCTCACCGGCGAGCTTCCCGAGTCGAGGACCTTCGCGAACGTCAACAAGACTCTGACACCGCCCAACACCATTTCACTGGCATACGGTCCTGACTTTGTGAACCAGACAACACTCACAAGCTACTTGCTCGACGTCTTCGAGGTCCCGTTCACAGTGAAAGAGAACGAGTGGTACCGCATCAAAGCCTCCATGGCCCCCACCGGCCACCTAGCAGTCTCAATCAACGACACCCAGATCCTCAACATCTCGCGCTCCGACTACCCGTGGGCTCTCAGCTCCGGCACAGTCTCCTACACCGGGTCGCCTGACTTCAGCGGCTCCTTCGGCTTCGGGGCGTACCAAGACCAGGCAGCCTACTTCAAGAACGTGCACGTCTACGACACCGCTAACGGCTCCACGCTCTACTCAAACACCCTCACCGGCAACGCGGAAGACATCCTCGCCGAATACGGGACTCAAGCTAACAGTGAAGCCGCCTGCCTTGACGGTCCGAAGCGCGACCGCCTCATCTGGCTCGGCGACTTTTACCACACGGCACGCATCATCGCCGTCAGCACGTCAAAGACGGAGCAGGCTAGGGGGACCCTGCAGCTGCTACTTGATTCACAAATCGCAAACGGGCAGATGAATATCTCACCTAATCTGGGCTACAACCTCTCCTCCGTCGCCGATGCGTTAGCGCCGGCGGGGAGCTTCGGGCTGCAGGATTACCAGCTCCTAGGCCTCATGGCCTTCAACGACCACGTGCGTCTGACGAACGACCTCGAGTGGGCAAGATCCACGTGGCCGCGATGGCAGGGGGTGCTCGACTGGCTTCTGCCACAGATCAACTCCACGACAGGGCTGTTGACTTTCGATGGAGGGTTCGCGTTTACGGGGCCCGCTGACGGGGGATCCGCGATCGGATGCGAGGCCGTTCAGACTCTCAACGGTGCTGCTGACGTGGCTGATGCTCTCAATGATACGGCATCTGCTACGCGATACCGGGACGCGGCGACATCGCTTGCGACTGCGATCAACGAGCGTCTCTGGAACGAGGAGGCAGGCGCGTACGGTCTTTCGCCGGCTGATCTGGACGGCGTTTCTGTGGCTGCAACGGCGTTCTGCATCACTTCAGGCGTGGCGAATGCAACACGCGCATCGCGGTCTCTTGACGCTGTATCACGCCTGAAGCTGGGACCGGGATACAAGGATACCTCGGCAGTAAGTTCCAACGACTCGAGCGTCAACATCTCACCCAACACCAATGGCTTCCTGCTGGAAGCGCTGTTCATCGGCAACGAGACGCAGGCAGCGAAAGAGTTGATGGAGAGTCTCTGGGGCGCCATGCTACCCGGCGACACGACCGCAGCGCAGAACAAGAGCGCGGTCGGCGCGAGCTGGGAGTACGTCAACGCCGCGACGCAACAGCCCGGCCTGGGACTGTTCACGAGCCTGAGTCATCCGTGGGGCGGCGCCGCGACGTATGTGCTAACGGAGTGGGCTGCGGGGCTGCGGGCTGCTACGGGTGTTGACGGGTTTGGGTACAGGAACTGGGTGGTTTCGCCTGCGAGTGGTGTCGAGATGGGGCTGAAGAGGGCGAGTGCCAAGGTTGTCACTGCGTTTGAAGGTGAGTTGAGTGTTGAGTGGAGGGTGCGCGATGGTGATATTGGTGTTACTATTCGGGCACCAGTCGGCACGCAGGGACAGTTTGTTTATGGGAATCAGAGCATTGCGTTGCATGGAAGGTCTGAGTACCAGTTTACTGTCGACGCGTCGCTGGATAATGGTATTGTTTAAACTAGCTCAGCCTACTATTACTTAGCGCAGAAGGGTGATGGGTCAAAGAGACAAATAGACATTAAGTGCTAAGGGCTTTTGTTACCCGCTTGTCTTGAAGTATATACATGTAGTTGTGCAGCTGGTTTACTGACTAGCCTAAAGTCGTGACGTCGTAGATAGTCGTCGAGGTTTGGACGATCAGTCACAATGTGGTTTCTGGTCAGACGCGTCTGCGTCTTTTAGTCATAACCGAGACACAGTCAGCGCTTGGTCGTTCTTATTGTGGATTCTCGCTTCGGAGTCGCATCAACCAGCATCCACCCAGGCGATGGGTCAACGAGACCAACTAGAGGTTGTATAGTGTAGCGGTTATCACTCCAGATTTTGATCATATCCAAACTTCTGGTAACCCCGGTTCGAACCCGGGTACGACCTGACATATCAACACATTTCAAGGTGTTTCCGTTCTCTTTTGCATTTTTACACCATACTGATGCATAAGATCAGCTTCAGTATGAAGCTCCTGCTTGGGTAACGACTAGCAAGCACATTTAATGTAAGATAAAGATAGGCGTATGCTCTGTGTCATTATCGGTGATAATCACTGATAGATTATGCCTCCATCATGAGCCGAGCCAACGGACTCAAATGCATACCATCATTTAGCTGCAGCACCTGAGTATAGTCATATCCGTCAGTTGAAAACTCAATGCTGATCATGAACCAGCAATTGGTCATACACATCTAGGGAGAAAGCGAATAGTTCATCGGAACATCTTCTCTTTTAACATTGCTCACCAGTAATCTAACAAAACGTCGCAAGAACACTGAGATGGAGGCAGGTTCCGGGGACTCGTAGCCTGGCATTCCCAACACACTGCCGGCTACTTTCGGCACCAAATTCCGGCATCGGAGCTGCCAAACAGAGACCGTGCCCCGCCATTCCCCCTCAAACTCCGAACTCGAACCGCTCCACCTCCGCACTTCCCGGTCACATGACGCCGTGATTGATCTCTCCGTGTGAAGCTTTCCCCTCCCTAATTGCAATAATGTCAATGTCCGTCGGAATTCTGAGAAGCAGCTTAGTCCCCGCAGTTCGGAGACCCTTTGTCACTACTAGACTCGTCTCTTCGCCGTTCAATCGCTACCGCACAATGGCTACCAAGGAGTTCCTCTGCATCCTTCCCGACAAGCCCGATGCGCTTGCCCGGCGCTTGGAGGTCAGACCGTATGTGACCTAGTCCTCAGAACAGGTCTCTTATAAGAGGCTGAGTGTAGTCCCGGGCCGATTGCTGACTTGTCTCAGTACGCATCTCGAGAATGCCCAGGGCCACAAGAGCAACGGCAAGATTGCTGTCGGTGGTATGTATCCAAGCTTGACACACCATCCCTCCTTCGGTGTTCGTCGCGATTCTCGTGCTCATGAATATGATAGGCGCCATGTTTGAGAAGGAACATCCCGTCGAGGGCCAAACCCCCGGTTTCAAGGGCAGCGTGATGATCTACACCGTCAAGGACGCCGAGGAAGCCTGGGAACTCATCAGAGGCGACGTCTATGCTAAGAACGACGTCTGGGACCTCGAGAAGGCTCAGGTCATTCCGGTAAGTTGACGTCCTGCTCTTAGATTTAACTACCCGCAAATAGTTGTGAAGCATCAAGCTGACATAGAATGTTCGATATAGTTCAAGTCGGCTATTCGCGAGTCTTTGTAAACTATCAATGTCTGAGTATGCTAGCAAATATGTAGTTCACGATGTTGGATCCAACGTATTCGGCCACCTGAATACACAAAAAGCCAATATGGGTGCCTCCAACGCCGTTTCTGTCACCAGCACAGCAGGCGTCTTCCTAGGTCGGTTGGTCAGGTCGATCAGGCTTGGTGGTGGAGTGGCTCAAGGTCAATAATCAACTACGCCGACAGCCTACTCGACGACAGGGTTAGCGAGAGTACCAGAGTTCTACCCCTAGCATGAGCACCAAGAGATGTAGTCCCACCGGGGACGATGTCTTTCTATCATTATGCCGAGAGCAATCCTCGAGTAGCGTATGATTGGGACAGAGACGAGATCATGAAAATAGACCACCAGAGAGCCGTTCGTTGCCATTGTCCTACCCCATTTGTCATTCAACTTTTGATTACCGTAAGTACTTCATTATCTTCTATCACCATCCCCATCAACAGATTGTATCAAGTCCTCCACATCCAACCTCTCCGCCAAATCCAGTAACGCCTGCGGAGAAAGACCGCCCATCCCGCTCGTATCAAAGATATCCCACCCAGCCTCCTCCATCTGGTCCAAGAATGACCCATGCTCGTGCCCGTGCCCATGATGATGTTGAGAATGGTGATGCGCCGCACTCGTCGGCGGCGGCGTCGGCGGCTCCTCGCCCACAGGCGTCAACGCAGACATGATGTGCTCCAACTGACTCAGCTCCAGCTTTCTCAGCGGCGCCACGAGACTCCCCTTTGAAATCATCTTGTCTAGCACGCACTTGATATTCTCACACCATGAATCGTCGTGCAGGAGAGAAGGGCTGATGACCCGGATGAGGTAGAGGAGGAAGGCGGAGGAGAATGCGTCTTCAAGCTGGAAGGGCAGAAAGGCTTCGAGGAGGTCTTCGTCGCCGAGCACGCGGAGGGTTCGGAGGACGGTTTGCGCCGAGTCGACGCAGGATTGGAGGAGGGATGCGACTGGTGGTGTTAGGGAGACTGTTTGTGGGTGTCGCGCATGGCTGTCGGAGTGTTCGATGTGCATGTGGAGGGCGCACATTACCAGTGGTCTAGTTGTCAGGACGACGCACTTCTGGGATTAACCATGGCATTGGAAGAGTGCGTAGAGGTAAGGTACTTACGTGGTGATATGATAGGATGAGTCGCAGTGCCATTCTAGAAGCGCGGCTGACTGAGCCTTGGAAGTGAGTGTCGAGGAGTGCGGTAAGATCTCGTGATAACCTGGCCAGGTCTCGTAGGATAGATTGGGTATTGGGGACTAGTGAGCCATCAAACTCTTTGCCCACACCGTAAATAGCTAGTAACATCATGTCAGTAACCAAGAACTTCGGTGTACGTTGTCCTACGGCTGATGGAACTCACTTGTAAGAATACGAGCCATGAGCCGCGATAGCCGTACATGAAGGGTCATATTCAGTGCATCGAGGGAGTTGTCCATCTGTGAAGGGAGTTTCACAGTGATGTCTTCGTCCCGAATTGAGGTCGGCGCTCCCATCAAGGCCGAGAACTCTCTGTCTAGAGTGTATACCACCCAGAAGACAATGTTGCACCGTCTCGAGTACTCAATCCCGACAACCTCTTCAGGCATGTGTCTGTAGATGCCCTCAACAATGCCGATTCGTAATGCTTGTCCGATCTAGCATATCATTAGTACATGACTCCTCGCAACCTCTAGTAATGAGAAAGCCAGAGCAGAGAGGGATCCAGGGTCTTACATGTTGATACGCAGCCAGCCTCATATCCAAACACTGAAAATACAACGCAGCCAGAGCAAGCGCCTGGATAGCCGGAATCGTATCCGGATTCAGTCCTGATAGATCTGGCAGCAACGACATGGCCCTCGCAGCATATTGTACCCCCGGCGGTGCCGTATGTGAAATACTATTCACAACAAATGCCTTGCCGAACGCCAGAACTAAGAGGTATTGTGCATACCACAGCCTCGCCGAGCTAGCCTTACCCGCGGGGTCCTCGTACAACTCATGGAGGTTCTTGAGAAAGGATGGCTCGTCAATTACATAGAAGACGGCGCCAAGGTAGAACTTGACCGTGTTGAAGAGGAAGAGGGCGTAGTCTAGCGGCGGGAGGTTGGAGACGTCGGGAGTCTCAGTCGCACCTAATGGCGTCCATTGCATCCTGAAGGCGCCCTCGTGAGGGAGATGCCATGGATCAGGGGCTGCTTCTGGTAGGCGTTTGCCCAGGAGGGCCAGAACTCGTCGGCAGAATGACCATGATGATGTTGGGCCCATGTACCCTGTGGAGGTTTGAGTGTTGGCTCAACTCACTCAGTACTAGGAGAAACAGCATATGGCTTACAGTATCGTTCCCCGACCTTTGCAAAGGTGTAATCGTTGTCCACCAGCGGGTTTTGCCTGAACCCTGGGCCAAAGTCGCTGTGATCCTCCTGATTCGAACGAGCATCTCCTACCTCAGTATCCGGCTCGGATGCCGGAGGACCTATCGGTTGTGGGCTGTCTACGACGTTGGCCGCGTCAATAAGACTTCTCTCGTCTGTGTGCACAAACCTGGCAACAAGAGACAAGCACAACTCACCATGGCTCGGGGTCTCCAACTGTCCGGCATTATCTTCACCCTGAGAAAGAGAAGTATGATGCGGCGTCGCATACGCATCCGCATCCGCATACCGACTCTGCACGTCCTCGACGTCGTCTCCGCGGCTCAGTGCCCTCGTCGAGCGGTCTGAGCCTGGATGCTCACTGTTCCGGTTCTGAAGTTCTCGGAGGTAACTGGAAAGTGGAGTCAGTTATTGTTTCTCATCCCGACAACTGCCTGCACTGCACGCGCACGGGTTCCGACAACTCACCTTTCCGGCACCGATATCCTCTTATCCTCAACAGCAAAGATGCATCTATGCTTCTTTCGATCGCAACGCGTGCAAGGCTGAGAGCCGGAGCACTTGACCTTCATTACCCGACATCTTTCGCAACTTTTTGTTGCAAGTCTTAGAGTCAGCCTTCACTCTCTCCGAACATCGGAACGCCCGGGCCCGGGCTCTCCCTCAGCCCTTTCGCACAAGAAACGCACGCTTTTTGGCATTTTTTGGTCACTTTGTATTGTCCCTGGCTTAATTGCGGCATGACGGACGGTTCTCGTGGGGCCAATTCGATAATTTCATGTCTCTTGCCCTCTCTCGTTTGCTGGAATTTGGGTAGTCTTCGCCGTAACTTTGGGGCCCTTTGATATGTCGGAGCAGGGTTCCGATAAGTTTTATATGTGCGCGGCTTGACCTCTTTATTGGCACTGGCAAATTTGGGGCATACAGTCCGCTAGTGCGAGACCGCATGTTGGCTTATCAGCCAGGTGTTGGGGTCGATGACTCGCCGTAGATAGCCGACACAGGAGGGTCTTTGCGGTCCTTGCGCCATTGTTATCTTTGCGATGCTTGTTCTTCTACCCCACAGCGTCTACGGATGTTCGTCCGTTCATTGTCTCCGGAGGCACCGGAGTCGGTAAGGATGACGGAGAACGTAGCGTCTGCTGAGCTGCGCACTCTACCGCGGGGAAGATCGGCACGTGTGTGTCGGACGTCAAGGGATATGGAGAATTTGCCAGAAATCCGGGGTAGAACGATCACGAGACCATTTGACTTCGAGGGTGGGCTTGCAAGGGAGAAGAGGCGTTGATGAAGTCATCAACCCAGCCCAAGCAGGTGGTCCAAGCCACCAGGTGAAGGCCAAACCTATTGGTATTTGCATCCCAATACACGAACAGATGAACATCGCGCTCTCATCTGGAAGCAGATTCTTATTGTATGGTGTATGCATCGGTATGAATCAGCATCCCAATGGAATCTGCAGATAGGGCCGCCGAAAGAACGAATGATGAGCCCTGCCTTTATCAGCGTTGTCGGCATGCAGTGAGCAGAGGAATCAAACCCCAGGAGTCTTCGCCGAAATGCCACCTTGGCATCGTGAGATAACCGTTGCGTAAGATCTTCAATGGCAAACAGCTAGGTTGTGTTTGAGAAGGAGGCTTAGAAAGTCACCGGTTCTGCCACGGGGTGGCCGAGTTGCGTAATGTCGGATGAGGTCTCCGACATTCCCCAACACACGCCAAGGTGGAGATCGGACTCGCGTTCCGACTATTTGTGAACCAATAGCGTCATTGTGTCTTATCACACCTCCAAGACGGCTTCTTGCCAGCACGCCATGGCTAGGCGAACCGCCGACATGGAGAACGAGGTTGTCGGGGTTTGAAACAAAGTGAACTCCGCGCTGTAGCCAGAATCTCTGTAATTAGAATTGAAGCAGACTTTGAAGCAATTGTGGTGACGATGAGATTTCCCTTGCTCGGGCGATTGATTACTCCAAGGTAAGTTAGTATTAATAGCAACGCGTATGGACCAAATGCTAAGTAAGCCGTCGCCTAGTAGACGGCGACTCACCCCGTGCATGTTACCCAGCCAAGGGTGGACAGCCCGAATGTCTTCAAGCAAATCAGATGACTCCAAAGGAGCTATTGTAGAGCGCCTCGGAAATTTCGAAGAGATACAATCCAAGCGCCCGGACTTTGACCACTCGAACGCCCCGATTGAGGTTACAAAATCCCCCAATCCAACGTGGTCTTATGGCCAGGGAGTCCGCACCCGGAAAAGCAACTCCGCATCCCACAAGGAAATTGACCCATACGCATCAGATCGATCAATGATCAATAACTACCGCCTTCTCGTTTCTGGAATCGCACCAAGGCCGGTTGGATTTCTCAGCACCTTGTCAAAGGATGGCAAGAAGAACCTTGCGCCTTTTAGCTATTTCCAAGTCATTGACCATGACCCACCCATGTTTATAGTCGGTTTCTCATCGAGACCCGGTGCTGTCAAAGACTCGTACCGGAATCTCAAGGAGTCGGGCGAATGTGTCATTAACACAGTGTCGGAAGACATGATTGAGGCTGTCAACGCTACCTCCATCGACGCTCCGCATGGAGTCTCTGAGTGGGTTATCTCAGGGCTGCACGAGGGAGAGACTACAACGGTGCAGCCATCAAGAGTTCTGGAGTCAGTGTTTTCGATAGAGGCAAAAGTGGTAGACATCAAAGAATTCAGTGACCACGCGAAAGATGGAAAGAGTGTCGCCGGAATGGTTTTGCTTAAGGCGACGCGGTTTTGGGTCATGGAGGATGCTGCTGATCCTGACTTCAGTCATATTGAGCTCGAGAAGTTACGTCCCGTGGGCCAGCTGGGAGGAAAGTCGTATGGACGCATCACGTCAACGTTTGAGGTGCCTCGCAGGAGATGGCAGGATGAAGAACCGAAAAGCGAATTTCTTCAGAAAATAGACAGATCCACCACCAAATAGATATTTCCATTATTTGATAAAGGCATACAGATATTGACGTTATGGCCAAGGTAGATGGCGCCGCTGGTCTACAGTCTCCGGGCATTCGGTGTCGCGTGCATCAATTACGACAAATCTTTCAATATTATCAACTATGATCATCTCTGCCTGCCTACGTGTACCCCTTCTACCTAGACGACATTGACAATCACTAGCCCCAATCTATGAATGTGGAAAATCCTTTAGCTTGGCTAGGCTTATGGCGTGTGAATGATCGGTGGCTTGGAAACCCTATACTGCGATTTTACCTACCTGATTGGACGTCAGTCGAACAAGTCTTACGATGGTAGGGATTTGTTGGCCAATCAAGTGGTTTGGGGCTGGCGGTGCTGTTACATTTGACGCTGACCAGAGCCTCGATGGGTGGTAAGATGAGGCTCTTAAAGCGCAATACCACTAATAAGTACAGCCAGCTCAACGCTGCCCAAACCTGACGCCCCTTTCCCTCTCACTATCTTTGTTTGTCAAACGCCAGGATCTACCAAGATGACCTCTGAAGTTACCTCAACAACTTCTATCATCGCAGAAGATGCGTGGAAGTCCCTCGTCGAGCGCAGTATCAACGAATGGAATTCGCCAAGTGGAAACATGCATGACTTCGCGATGGGATTTCTGCAGAATTACAAAAGCCTAGACGATTTTCTACGCAGTCCACGGGAACTCCCGCTCTTTTGGTTCTTTCAAAGGAGAGAAGCCTTTCTTTCGCAACAGACATTCACGAAATGGAACAGAGATCGGCTCGAGGACTATGTTCTTCTTCCTGCCCTCAACAACTTCGTCATGCGATCAGAGTGTTTCTTCGTCAGTCACTTTTGGACCACGAGCAACGACCCGGATCCTGATGGCTCTTGTCTGCGTCTTCATCAGAAAGAGCTTGGGGTTCAGAGTTGGTCGCACATCTGGGTCGATTGGACCTGTCTGCCTCAGTACCCCCGGACCGAGAGTGAAGAGGAATACTTCCTGCGAGGGCTGGAAACAATGCCTGGAATCATTCGCAACTGCGGTTTCTCGTGGTTCTATCCCGGGTTTGAGCCGCGCCTTTGGATCCTGTATGAAATTGCAGAGTATACCCTGACCTGTGATGGGGGTATCGAGGAGTTTGAGGATAATCAGGAGTTTGTGAAGCACATTCAAGAAATGCAGGAAACTAGCGTTCCATCGGTGTTGCGCAAGTACGGATACAGGTGTAGCGACGAGCGAGACAAAGACTACTTGACGTCGTGTTTGGAGATTCTCGTTTACTTGATACGGTTCGGCATAGACATGGGCGAGGTCAGAAGACTAATGTCTCACGTCTTGTGGTTTTCTTTCACTCCGGATATAATGTACCAGAGTCACCTTGGACTTGTGCAAATTTGGAGGTTCGAAGGGGCGCTGGAATTTCAAGGCCAACGTTACGAGTTTACACCATTCCCCAAATGGGTAAGTTGTTCCCTGGTATCATCGAGTTAATCATCATCACTAATGAGCTTCTCACAGGGAGAGGGCAAATACTCCGCCAATGCAAGGCGGTTGGGAGATATGGAACCTCCCAGCTAGGTTTGCACGTGTAATAGTAGAGAAATGGAAGACTAGTGAAAAGGAAGCAAGGGTGCGTGGTTCGGAAACATGAAGACATCGAACGGCCGAAGGTATGGAATTGAGCATGTGAACTTCTTGTAGTTTCTCCGTTTTTTTGAGCGTCTATTGTTGGGATATCTCTAAATCAAGTCATGATGCATCGCTGAAAACAAAAAGTACAAGGTCATGTCGGTTCAACCAAAGACCCGGCGTCTCAGCTCGCTCTTCAATGAGCCAAGCATGTGAGCGCTCTCCGCGACAGCTCCCTTGTTCTCGACCGCCCTTCTGTGCAGGTATCCCATGCACTCTGAAACCGAACCCCACGGGAGATACTTGAACGGCTTGGGGATAGCATCTCTCTTCAACCCAGAGTCTGCCACACAGGTATCGTAGTTGTCCAGCAACTCACAGCTCAATTCATCCGCCATACCAAACAGCTGACCGCACTCAAGCTCAGTCGTGGCTTGGCCGTCTAGGATTCTGCGGCGGTGGGTAGAGATCGCTGTCGCAGAGCTGGCGGCGTTGTGGGTAGCGAGAAAGAGCGCGCTAGCGGGGAACTGGCACTCCTTGGCGTCTTGAGGGAGTCTCTGGCTGATGAACATGTCGGCGATGTCGTCAAAGTTCTTATCGGTATCTTCCTTGGTGTCGTGGATCAGGGATCGGACTTCGTTCTCGATGTATGCGCCGCGGACCAACTTGACTCCCAAGCTCCAGCCCTCCTTCGCGGCCAGGGAAATGTGACGCTCGGAATTAGCCTTGGAGCCCTTGAGATAGCCCTGAATAGTGTTGTAGATCAAAGGCTTGCTCTGGCGGTTGTGCTTTCTCATGAGGTCGATAGTCCACTCGTCCAATTGGGGTTGAAGGGCTTGTTGCTCGGCATCGATCCAGAGACGAGATCCTTGCTTGTTGGTTTCCTCGCAGAGTTCGTCCAAAGCCTTGCTCAAAACTTCCGGGATGGGTGCTTTCGCCTTCAATGCATCTACAGAGATGGGACCAGCGCCAGTAATCCTGATGTTGTTAGTGGAGAAATACGTGGAGGTATTCCAGGGCAACTTACTTGACAGCCAGGAAATCGCCCGGCGCCATCATATGGAGAGTTTCGAGGTTTCCCTTCTTCCATTGGTCAACCATCTGGTAAACCTCTGGTGCGTACTCTCCAGCTTTCGCTTCCGCCGCGGCCGCTTTCTTATCCAGAACGATTTCCTTTGCGTAGTTGAGAATGACACCCTGGTATCCCATCCGCTTCACTTCAGAAACAGTCTTTGAAACCTGAGGAATGTTCTCTCCAGCACAGAAATGGTCGTAGATAGTCCATCTCAATAGTCGGTTCAGCAATGGGTTCTTATCGGGGTTGAAAAGTGCGAGTTTTGTGTTAGCGATAAAGTGCAGTAGAGGTAGTGCTGGCTTCATGAGAAGTGGCGTTGACATGAATTGTGTGAGGAATAGTGACCGGACCAGGGCCTTTGTTGAAAGTCTAGATAAGGGTGATTTCTTCAGGGTCGGCGTGAATGTCCGCGGTGCTGTTGGAGATAAGGTCTGTGTCTTGGCCGACGTGGTGCTGACATATCTCGCCGCTCCCTTCAGCCGAAGGGATCTGCAGAAAGGCATCGGCGCCTGCCTGCACGCAACGAGTCTTGCGTTCATCGTGATAGTTAGATAGGTAGACTTCGATATTTGGCTAAGACGAGACTTGACACACGTAGAGATGGTGGGAGGGTGCCTGGGTACTTCTATTTATCGATCACGAACGGCTACGGCCGGCATAAACTCTGAATCACGACCGAGCCATGGCATCGTGGGAGGTATGTCTCCGAGCTAGCCACCCCCCGCCATCGGCGTTCCGATGGTGTGTCTTTGCGCACGCCCCGGAGAAGACTAATGGTTTGCGTGTGGTATTTGCGGCTCTTCTCCATCACGGAGCACGGCGGAGCCGTCTTTGCACTGGATCCTCACTTCGCAGGTGGATAAGACAAGCCCGCCACCGACGCAAAATCAAGACATCATTGGGCCTCGATGAGATCGAAATCTAACAAAAGCCCGTTATCGGAATGCTTTGAGTTTAGATCCATGAGATAAGAATGACCAAGTGACCAAAGTCGGGTGCTTAGACAATGAGGGGCGACCCCGGATGTAGCAGGTGTCGGTGCGTACGTCCCGACATGTCGGATCCAAAAAGTCGGAAGGGCTTATCTCGTCGGAAGGTCGTCCCGACAACACACTAACACGCTTGATCTGCCGTAGATCATCGATTCTATTCCACACACAAGAACCCCATCCTTGGCAGCACATTCTCTCGTTCTCTTCGTGATACATCCTATGCAATAGTCCGAGGAAACATAAATGGCATCTAAAGTTATGGGGGTAAGCTCTCATGTGCGTGGGCGTACGACGATGTGTCTATGCCCGTTTCCTGTAATGCCAAAGGGCTTTGTCTCTTGCCTGTGCGCCATGTAATAGGTCAACTCATCATCTCCATGGTCTTATCAGAAGCAGAGTATCTCCTGGACCTGTATCCAACATGTTGAAGATGGGTTTGACTCTATCTTTGTCAGAGGCGCACGTGCTTCCGCGCCCATGTTGCCAACTCATGCACGACTGAGATATACTTTAAAAGCGGATTGGGCTTTAAAACCATTGAGCGCATGCAATTCAATTCACGGTTCCACTAGAGACCTTTAACGTGGAAGGTTGTATGGAGTAGTTGACCACGAAGTGAATCGGTGCTTTCAAGGTATGTGCGCAATAATTGTATGAACCTTGCTACCTTATACTACATTTTCCACCTTTTTGAGAGTTCCACCTCAAATAGCAATTGTGAGCCGTACTGCATTCAAGGCAGGGCAGGCCGTAAGTCGCCTTTGGAAGTCGCCTCATCGATAGCTAAGACTTGCAGTATTTTCTTACCACTGTATTGAATGAGAACATCCTTTCAGCGCCTACCCTCATTGCTAGTCACCCTCGGATCAAAGACAGGAAAGTCTCCATAACCCCGGCCTTGCTGCTTTTATGCAATACAGGGGACAACCAGCATCTATACAGAATACAACTTATCCAGACCCCTACAGCTTTGAGTGAATCAACAAATTCAATCATCTTGTCAGATTGGACGACAGGTCTGTCAAACCTGTTTTCCTCGCTTGAAGCAGCCCATAGTTGCAAAAAACTCTAGATATGCATAGCTATGCCAGGTCGACTCGAGTATCCTGAAACCCTTGAGTCCAGAACATCGATTGACAATCAACCAATAATTTCAATGGCCGCTTAAGCCCTCGGCGAAACGCAGCGACAGTCTTTGAAGCATTGATGAAAGATAATGTTGATGAAAAGGAATGATTCGGCCTCGCCAAAAGATCCTCTTTAGAAAGCCTTGGCTTGTGACAAACCAGACATGATTGACGCTGTTACACGGAATTGAACTTTTCCTATCACGAGCATGCTTCAGCCCATGCTTCATCTTGGATCGAGCGACCTTCGAATTGACATTCAAGTCTCCTTGATGTTCTCAACCTCCCAAACCGCGCCCTTACACTGCGGCTCCCTGAACCGGCCTTCTTCGCCGGCTGAACAGTGGTACAAGAAGCCGTACCCGTTACAGTTGACCAAGACTGTCGAATCGACCTTTCCAGCGCGAAGTACAAGCTGACTTTGCTTGTGGACGACGGATGTGCCAGAGTCTCCGCAGAAGTAGACGTTGTTTGCGTTGAGGTTGCAGTTTGAGACTCGCTTGTACCCGTTGTATTTGCCGTTAAAGGTTCCTTCTCCGCAACTTGCGAGGGTTTGGCCCGAAAGCAGGGCTACGGCCATGATAGAGATGGCCGAGAATTGCATCGTAGCTGTCTTTGATTGAGTTTGAGGATTTTTTTCCGTCTTGAAGTATGGAAATGGTAACGGATGAGGCGTAGGTTCCTTGTTCTTATTACTTAGGGAGTTGTGATATCGCTTGGCGTTTATAGTAGCATTTGACGTTGCTTCAAAGAACTAGCTAGTATTTATATATCAACTCTATACACAGTACAGCTTCTAGCACAAATTCAGTAGCCGTAGTTATCGGAAGTTTCGGCTAGGTGCACCTCCTGAGACGATTCCGTGGGTTCAGAATGACCAGTATGAAGGTTTAATCAGAAATTAGTCTATGAACTAGACTGAACTCTCTATGATTACCTTACTGTGGGGCTCTGGCGATGCTTTTGCTGGACGCTCTCCTCTACACATCACTGGAGATGGCTTTGCCGCCGAGTCAGGTAAGCAGCGCACTGAGCGGGCTTGAGTGGCAGTCCGAGATTGAAATTCGGGAGTGATGCGGTTTCCGAAAGGCTGGAGAACTTTGGTTCAAGGAGCTTGAGTCATAAAGCGATCTATGCGTTGTTGGCAATTTCGCCTGCGAGAGATGAAAAGTCAAAATACCACTCATGCGACTCGATGCTTCCAATTGAACGAGAAAGTCGACTTTCAATGAGGAACTGTTATGGCCAGAATAGCAAACGCAAGTGAAATGATTTGAGAGAAAGATGAATTTTTCGGTTGAAGCAGTCCAAGTTGATACATCACATCAACTATACCAAACTTCACAAGTTTGCGATGCCGGGGAGAATCAAGGGCTCTTCTTAGGACCTCTGTGAAATGACTCGAGTCCCTAGCTGATTCATCTCTAATAAGGTTTCAAAACCTGGCGCCTTCCTTCAACTTGCACCTCACTCATGTTTGCGACCAAAGTTGGGTAAGAAGGACCAGGTGAACAACAAGAATGCCAGCGCCCCGAGCAGTATCGGCGATAAGACTTGCACACCGTGGCGCTGAGCCTGAGCTCCGATTACAAATGGCAGGATAGCAGCGCCACTACCTCCAAGACCGATGGCGAAACCGATAGCACTGACGTGTAAGTGCCTCGGTAGTAGCTTCGTGATGGCTATCATCATGGTGGGGAACAGGGGTCCGAGGAAGAACCCCTGGAGTGATACGGTGATCGCGGAAACAAAGAATTCGGGAATAAGCCAGAACAAAAGCTGCAAACAAACGGCAGCGCCGAGATATAGCTATCAAGGTTTCGACGTGGTTAGTTGATTCAGAGTGACATAGTTACGCGAGATTTGAACATAACTTGGGTCGGGTTATCAAACGTACCATGACTGCGAGCTTCTCGCCCACTCGAGGGGTCACGAGACCTAAGGCAACTCGACCCAGAGCCAGCCCAGCCCAGAAACCAGTGGCTGTCATACCGCTGGCAAATTCTTCTCCGTGGCGAACCTGCAACATGAATGTGACGATCCAACCGCCAAGAGACACCTCCAGTCCGACATAGCCAAGGGCGAAGATTGCGCATAGCCAAGTAACCCGGGCCGAAGGGAGTTTGAACAATGTCTCGTGGACAATTGACTCTCGCGGCTCTGGACCCTTGGGATTCTTTTCACAGTATGCAACCCCAGTAGCGGACCAGAAGGCAGAGGTAGTCAGAACGAGCTCCATCATAGCCAGACCAGCCTTGTTGCGGAATGACTCTGTTAGTAAAACCTTGAAAGACGTTCGTTGTGGAAACTTGACTCTCACCATGAAGTAGTAAAACGTGTGCCATGGAAGCTGAGCCTTGCTTATAATTACAGTTGCCGTCATTGGACTGAGGACAGCGCCAACACCATAACAAGCATGCATCAGACTGATGACATGGCTAGAGTCCGCCAGACTCCCGACCCAAGAGTTCCAAGCAGCGTCACCGATGCCATTGCCCAAGCCAGCCAACATGTAAATAAAAACTAACGCTGGATACGGTGGATGTAGTGAGATGGCAATGTACGATGCTAGGTGACAGAAAGAGCAGATAATTGCGATGCCTCTTTGTCCAACACTCTCATGTAGACTGTTGTTCAAAATGGCTGAGAGCGTGTGGCCTATGAAAGGCGCAAGGAAGATCAGAGACGTGAAAGAGTACGGTAAGTCGTAATATTTTCCCAGCTTCGCATCACGGTCTTGTCAGATGGTATCGGTAGAATAAGTCTTGGACATAGCTTACATGAGGAATAATTGCCTGGTCGCACATGAAGCCTACGTTAGTAACCATGATCACGACATTGTCCTGTTTATTGTACCAACTTACACCATATGAGGCATCATTTGCTCCCATGACCAATAAACTCCAAAAGACAGCCAAGGTTCGGATAACATTCGAACGTGAGCTTTTCCATGTCTGCAAGGCTACGATTGCATCATCGGGTGGGAAAGCCGATCCAGTGCGTTCATGATGGACGAATTCTGACGGATGGCTAGACACACCCGGATACCCGGGGTGTGAATGGGGCGAGAATGTTTCGCCATTTGGTGTGCCATGCTCTCTGTTGGTAGGTAGGAGAGGAAGCTGCCGTAACTCGATGCGTTGAACGTGGGTAGTCGGCGCCATCTGGTGAAACGGAAGCTTTAAGCTTGGCCTGGAGGTCTGTGCCTCAACGTGATAAGTCGGAGCCCTTTAATGGAAATGGATATGAGGTGTTTTGTGAATTGGGGAGACTACACTCAGGAATAGTGCAAGATTTCCAGTAGCATGAGAGCTGGTCTGTCGTTGTCAGCCTCTTACAAGCGGCTGGAAATGAGTGGTCCCTTCTGTCGGAGTTCCCAGAGAAGAAATGCGGCCATCAGGCATGCTACTTCATGACATGGGCCACGCACCCAGTACAAATACTCACACAAGCTCTTCCCGAACTAGCAGCACTGTAATTGACCCCTTGTGACATTAGATAACGTAATCACATGTATACACAAGCAAGATATCAAACGATGGGTATTCGAAGAAGGATTTGTAATCTCCCCAAAACTCTGCTCAGCCATGATCATTATGAGGGTTCAAGAGGATTTGGCCGTGGCTCCGGCTACCCTCTAGTCCTCAAACAGCTACGAATACTTCACAGATACTCTGGCACGTGTCTCGCCGTGCTTCTTGACACAACATCATAGTCAAGAACCAAGCTAGTAGGTGTACATGTGTCTTCTATGTGGATCAAATGCTGAGCTCGGGAAACTGTGGAGCGCTGAGGCTCAGAGGCCTGGACATTTAGTCAGGAACCCCTTCCCGAATTAGGAAGTACTCCCCGCCAGCCAGGAATTTGACTGCCTGAGTACTTGTACAGACATGTGCTTCGGGTCATGTAGTAGGGACTCTTACAGTATGGAAGCATAACTTACAACTACTTTGTCTGTACTCTGCTATTTCCGTTGTGTTTCCGGGAGAACTATTGCAATTGGCCGAGTTTCAATGATCGAAGCAGTTTCAGCAACATCCTTCGACCATACTCTCGCCAAAACGATAGTATAAAATTGAACATTGCAGTTGAGTGTTTATGGCTAGGGACTAGATCTCATAGTTCGTTGAGAATACCTACACATGTAAGGATTTCGACAAGTCATTTAAGACTTTGTCCTGCAAATGTGCGCCGTAGACAGGCGGTACGTCCAGCCCGCTGAGTGATGCCACATCTTCGTTGATATTCGGACTTGTTGACCGAACGAACTTGTTATTCGCATCAATTGGCATCTGAGGTGATGCAAAGAGTACGACAGGCAGCGATGCACGGTACTGAGCTTTATTAACAAAGTCAGGATTCTCGTGCGCCATCAGACACTTACCTTATTCGCAAAAGGACTATTGTCTGAATCCTGAACAGTGACCTCGATCGAAAGAAGGTGGGTCATGCTGATATCGTGGGATTTCATATCTGGAGAACATTGTTTCGGCTCTGCAGGAAGAGGAAGGCTCTGCGTCGTCTTGTAAAAGCGTTGCTCCAAATTCTCGTGGTTGTTCATTGGCGTCTCCCACTCGGCAACATCCCTATCGCCAACAAAGGTTGTTTGCTGGCTTTTACCAGCCTTCACCTTGTGTGACTCCAAAAGTTGGCATTTTGCTTGAGAGATTCTTGTTCCTGCTTTCAGCGGCGCAAAGCGCATTTCGAGAGGAATAGCTGTGCCCAGGGCAATGGCGCGATGGCCGATGGAGATCGAATACCGCAACTTTTCTCCCCATATACCTTCGACCGTCACAGGGTCCATCAACTCGAATGCGGAACTTGAAAGCGTCCTATTTATTCGTATCGTTTTGTATGCCTGAGGCGTTGCGGAAGAGGTGTTGCTTCGAATCGTCGTTGCCGTCAGTTGGTAGGTGATGCTGCACCGACTACACCCTTGAAAAGTTTCTGGTGTATCACCGTGTATAGAAAGTTTGAATGGCCACTCATGAGTAGTGGTATTAGAGGAACATGGGGGGACGTCTCTATGACCATGGTCGGTGAGGAAGGGAGGCCATTCGTACTCGAAGACGCGGACTGTGGTTGAGCATTCGCTCGATTTTGATCCTATGTCATGGTCTCTAAAGACAAAATCATCAGCCTCATGTCGTGTACTAAGTCTGAATACGCTACCTACCTGCGACGCAAGAAGCCGTCCAAACGTAGCCGGACGCCGACTGCAGGCTGTGTTGAAGGTAGACAAAGACTAAGAACTCCTCGAAGAGCTTGCTCATTTGCTTCATCTGCTGTCCCTCTCAAGAACACGTAATCTCGATCCATCCTGATATCCAGGAAAGCCAATCAGCCAAATGACCTCGATATATGCGGAAGACGCAAAACGACCTTGCTTACAGAATTTTGAGGGACGCATCTTGGCTTTCAACGCCCGCTAGCCGTGACAAAAATGAAAGCATGGAAACTGATGTCTAGCTTCCGTTTCGGACTCTTGTGATCATCAATAGAAATCAGAAATTTCGGCCGGATTTCTCTCTGATAAGAATCGAAGGAGCAAGATACGCAGCCAGCAAAGTTCCGTGTCGCCTCATGATGCTCTTCAGCAAAATAGACCGAATCATGATGGCACTCCATCAGCAAAGAGCGGAATTGATTTCCGTCGGAAGTGAGGTTAATCCAACGTCCTCAGCCTCGAAACACAGCGAGTAGGTACTCAGCCAGGCAATGCACCGAGATATGCTTTTGCTTTCAGCGAGTACCTTGCATTTTCCTGTGAGGCAAAGCCAAGCGGGGGAGTTTTTCCAAGTCAAGATCGAATGAGGGTGTTCGGGCGGTGGCAGCACTGGATTATCCCTGCGCAGAACAAGGTACATGATTGCGGCCGATCCCCAAAGAGGTAATAGATCCCACCGGCAAGCTAGGGATATGACTTTGCTAAGGTCCCTTGGGCCACAAGCTTCACATGTTCTTTGGCCCTAAAGGCATCATGCCATGGCTGAAATAAGGTCAACTGTTGAGACGGAATACATTTGCCGCCAGTTTCCATTGAGTAATCAGGTCATCAGCTGGCAGCAAGAACCTTTCAATGCTCCTATGACAGGATCTAGGGCCGCATCACATCTGCGTCTTCGAAATAACAAACAAGTGGAGTCAATGCGGAGGTAGCGGAGTTTTCCGCTGGCCGGGTCAGCACCCGATCAACCGGCCTTGCCCCGTTCGGATCCCCGAAGCCGGTTGATCCTCGGGAAAGTCACGATGCTGACCTGCCTCAAGATTTTTGGTGTTTGTGTGACTCTAGACGGAAAATTGATTCCTTTGACAAATCATGCCGTATGACTAACCGCTGGCTGGCTGGTCTGATATGCCGACACATCAAATACAGCGATCACATCCCTCATTGGCGTTGGGACTAGGTATCTCGGGAGCTCGGCTAACAATTTCTAGCTCTCACCTAGTGAGACAGTCATGCTACGCTGTCGGGGTTAGCTGCATTTCGACGTCACATGCCGTGACAATCTTCCCCCTCAGCGTGGACCTGGGACAGGAATCTGCTCCCGGTGGGAATCCATCTCCCTTCACTTCTTTCCGTTGTGTCGTCGCTGTGTTGATAATACCTTCTATCGACTGCCAGCGTGCTTTCCTTGAAAAAGTAGCGCATCCCGACCGCACGCCGAAGCTGACAATACTTAATTTGATCATCCGCTGCGTCTATTGTTGCCATGAACTATCTCGAGTAATGCTTGACCCGGAGCTGTTATCGTCGCATCATTGATCCCAACGGCACCATCCCTTATTGGGCCACCCCGATCCTGCAGTCGTCCAACTAAGCTTTGTCCTTTCCCTAGCCACCAACACGTCTCGATAAGACGACACCGGATCCCATGGCATCAACTTCACTTTTATCTGCGTCTATCATCACCAATATGGCTGCCCTTCCAGCGTACGGGAACTATCATCACGTTCAGCTGGCGGAGGTTTTTGACTGCGCCCTCGATCAGAGGCTGGGCCGTCACCTTACACCCACGCCAGCCCATCTCACGCGCGTCGTCTACGTACCAAATCACAAAGACATCACTACTCATTTGCCTCTCTACGATTACAATGAAAATTACGACAAGGCTGTCAAGAAAGAGCCTATCGGCAGCAGCAAATACAAACTTGGCCTGGCAATGATGAGGCGACCGTTGGGAGATGGAACCGATGCACAAGTTCGTTATCTGGTCAACTTCCAGAAGGGCCTTGATGGTGTTGCTGCAACGGTGGAGAGGAGAGTGCCAAGCCATAATGGCGAGATCGTCAGCTTGTAAGTTTCTATGAAGCGTCATCCTACCCAGGGAGTAAGAAAATACGGTTATTAACATTTTCTCAAGGCATATACCTGCCGATGACAATGGAAACTTTCGCGTTGCACCGCACAGCATGGAGCAAGACCTGCAGCTAGCAGTCACCAGCTCGTTCCCCGTCCCAGACACAAAGATGCACGCAGCCGCAAACCCCGTGCGACACCCATGGTTCACGATTTCTCAGACGTCACGAGACGGGAGCATAACCGTTCCCTCGAATTTGGAGTGGCAAGCGCGCCCAACAGAAGATGGGCCTCTGCGCTATACCCTGGTCGACACTGAAGCAGAGTTGAGCGGCGGTGAGCCAGCGATTCATGCCATCTACCACCACGTCGGTATCGGCTTCGCTCTGCCCAACGACTATAGCGAGGGTATCTTGCTACTTTCGGAGGATCTCAACGGAGAGGCGGAGGCGCTGGCGATTGCCACCTTGCTCGGTGTTCTTCGGCAGACAAGGTCGATCAACCAGCCTCCTCCCAGGCCGAGAAAGAAGTCTTTGGTGAAGCGAGTTCTGGGCAAAATTTGAGCCTTTTGGGGAACAGAACAGACTTCGTGTCTTTGGGAGATATGAACTTGCGTGGTCGATTCTGGAAACTTACCGGTCTAGTGCGTATTGGGCGTGGAAATTGAGGAAGATGTTGAGCGGCAGATACCCAGGGAATTTGTATTTTTGCTTTAGTCTCTTATTGTATAGCTACTTTCAATTGGGAAAGGAATGCATATCAGGTCATCCAGACTGAAAAGCTCCGTGGGCCTCGTCCCACCCATTGTGGAAATCGTTAGTGCCTGTCTCGGTTTTCTTGCCATCTTTTGTCAGAGCCTGCGTCTTTTGAACGCGTATTCAAGACAGATATCGGTAAACTCAGCACAAGTTTCTATGTAGTTTGCATTGACTTGATTTCAATCTTTTGACACCGTTCGGCACTTATGTTGATAGAAACTTGATGTACGCCTGAAGTCTTTACGGCACTACAAGCATCTTGATGTCACCAAGCCCCAGGAAGGTTAAGCATGCATGTATTTATGCACTTCAGCAAACTTAAGTACGCAAGGCAACAAAAACGTGGTTGCGGGCGATAATTTTAGAATCGGTCCCTTAAATTCTGTACCGCTAAACTCTGACGTACTTACACGTATCTTACAACAGCAGTGACCAAGTTGGAAGTATGCCTTGTCTTGGCATAGTCCGAACTTCAAGGTTCTTTGTAGGCGCATGACTAGTTAGGCCGGACTTCGGCCGTAGTCGGTGGATAGGCACCACATGATACATGTACCTAGGATGATTCTGTACTATCAAGTCATCGGCAAGCCGGGCCTCTACAGCCGTGTTTCCAGTGAACTGGCATTATATACTATTTGGTCCAAGAGGCGTGTCAACGATTATGCTTGCGGTCTTATAAGAACACACATGCATCACTGTTAGGTGATATTCTTCTTCATGTTCAAATGTCAATAGTAACATCCTTTTCAATCAGACTTTATCACCTCACTCCGTCCATCGAACACCCATAAGCACACTCTTGAGAGTCATGGACTTACACGCAGCATCATGAAGCCCGAAAACTGTTTCACTGAACCGATGCCCGTGCGTTTGATCACACTCAACATCCGCTACGCCATCAAAAAGACGCTTTTGCCAAATGAGCAGCCATGGGAAGTCCGGTGCCCGAAGTTGACGTCTCAACTAAGATTCCACACTGCCGGCCTCACAAATGCCTTCATATGCATCCAAGAGGCGCAGAACCAACAACTCCACGACTTAGAAGCGGAATTGGGCCCACGATGGGCCAGCATCGGCTGTGGTCGTGCTGATGGGGTGTCCGATGGAGAATTTTCGCCCGTGTTCTACCGGATTGATCACTGGACTGCAGAGCGAAGTGAGACGTACTGGCTCAGTCCCACACCAAAGAAGCCTTCAAACGCATGGGGCGCAACCATCAATCGCATTGTCACGGTTGGTCTGTTCAAGCACAAGACCTCCGACGCTAGGATCGTTGTGATGAGCACCCACCTCGATCACAAGAGCCAAGAAGCCAGGCGCGAGAGTGCCAAATTACTTCTTAAGATTGCTGAAGAGTGGCTCAAGAATGTATCAGAAAGCTTTGGGAAGGATGTGCCGGTTTTCCTAGGCGGGGACTTCAACAGCGGGCCGAAGGACGAGCCGCATCAGATTTTGACAGCCCAGCCTGGAGGAATGAGAGATATCTCGGACTTGGTCCCGGCTTATCAGCACTACGGGAATAAGATCACCCACACGACCTTTGGGGAGGCGGAATCCACTACGATTGACTATCTTTTTGTACTGAACCACAAGCACATCCGCTTTTGCAATTTCGCCGTTCTCTCAAACCGATTCGATGACGGTGTTTATTACTCGGATCATCGCCCTGTGGTAGCCGACATGGAACTTCTGCGCTCGAAGGGCCAGTAAAAGCTTTTTGCACATCTACGTGTACCTAATCAATAGAGTCTTCCGACCTTTTGCTCTGTATTGTATCTGCCTAAGTAATTCTCAATGTTCTTCGTCGCATGATAAACAGATAAACCAAATGATGAAAACCTAGGCTCGCATCTCTATCAAGCAAAAAACGACTTTGCTGAACTGCCGATTCCCCGCTTGAGGCCCGCGGCCACCGAGGGTGGATCCAGAAGGCTGACGTCGAATCCTCCTTCTAATCACGTTACCTACTGGCAAGGCATGAGAGTCTGGACGGAACTCAACCCCCATTTGTGCTATCGTCGGCGAACGCTTCTCCATTGGGTGAAAATCTTGCGGAAGTCATAGCTCGCATACACCTAATGGCAGCGTCGAAATTATCACGTCGGAGCTGATTCGCTGGCTGCATGAGGAAATGAAATACTGTCGGGGACAGTGGGAACGTGGACTACGCGTACATCACCATACATGACGACACCTAGGTTCAATGGTTTCGCTAAACGATTGGTTTGAACGTCAAATGCCTGCAGCAAGGTAGCAATGAGAGAATGTATTCTAGCATGCCTATGCACCCCAGCAGCAGATCGAAATTGGAAAGACCTAATTACGCATTTGTGATACGCAATAGCTTCTCTTGCTTGCCATTGAGAAGTCAAAGCAACCGAACCGGTATCCGCTCCAGGAGTGCGCGGAGACCGCTTGGGTTATGAAATTGAACATAAACTCAATGAAAAGACGTGTTTCAAGTTTTACTTGGAATGTTAACCAAGCATTCTCCATCATACACCCAATCATTTCCATCTTTCGGCTATCACAATGATGCTGCTGATTCTATTTCCGTTGATCCTGGGACAAGTGGCTTTGCAAGCTCTTGCAGCCATTGTTGGACAAGCAAGCAGTTTCAATGTCACGACTAAAGTGGCTCAGAAATATGGTTGTGGCGAAGCTTGCCAGCAAGCAATCCAGACTAGCAACGAGGGCGATCTAGAGATTTTTGGAACCAACTTCGACTTTGACTTTTACGAAACCGCTGCCAACTTCACAGGCTCTAGGCCCGGTGATGTCCTCAAGATCCAACCTGTCATCCCTGCCAACATCACCGTGCCTGCCGGTGTTGCCGTCTACAAGATTCAATACACCAGCGCCGACATCAACGGCTCCCCTGTACCCGTCACTGGCTTCGTCGCATTCCCATTTGCTAGGACACAGCAGCCCTTTAACCTGATCGCTTACGCACATGGAACCAGCGGTGTCTTCCGTGGCTGTGCTCCTTCGACGTCACCCAGCTTGTACGATTACCAAAGCTGGTCACCGATCCTTATTGCAGGATACGCGGTTGTTGCTACCGACTATGCTGGCCTGGGAAATAACTACACGGCTCACAAATACGTAGCTAGCGCAGCCAATGCTAATGACACATATTGGTCCGTTGTAGCTGCTCGTACAGCCTTTCCCGACATTCTTTCGCACGATTGGGCTTCGATCGGACACTCTCAGGGCGGCGGCGCCGTGTGGAAGCTGTCAGAGCACAAGCTCGTCCAAGATTCAGCCAGTGGATATCTGGGAGGTGTTGCCGTGGCGCCTGTTACCAAGGTCTACGACGCGCTGGTTGCCATCGAATCGCTTCGCAATCTTACTCAGACCGGAGGAGACGACCACGATTTTCTTGCTTTGGGCGTCATTCCATCTGCTGTACTTGGCATCAGGGCAACGTTTCCTGATTACGACGCCCCCATCATTTCGGCCAAACTGAAAAACAGAATCGAGCTCGCAAAGATCGCACAGCTATGCGACGCCGCTATCTCGAGTCTCACAGTTGACCTTCGCTTCGACGCTCTTTCCAATCGCACTGCCGCATCCGACACGCGCCTTAAAGAGTTCCAAAAGTTGAACGCTCCAGCTCAAGGTGGCCGCGCCTCAAAGCCGCTGCTTTTGGTTTTGGGTGAGGACGATACCATCGTCTCAGAGGAGTCCGGTACCGCCTCGTTCGACGAGACCTGCGCCCACGGAAACCCTGTTCATATGAGCATCTACCCCGGCTTAGACCACTCTGCTGTCTTGACGGCAGCAACACCTGAGTGGCTTGCGTTCTTCCAGGACCGATTTGCTGGGAAACCTTTCGGAGAGGGTTGCTCGAATGAGACCAAGGTTCCTTTTGACCAAGAACATGCCCAGCGGCCTCTAGATAGCTACTGATATCCCCTCATGAGGCAAGCCCATTGCAAGTCGTTTTACTTTCGGACATTTGGAGCCTATGCCATTCGTCTTCTTGGCTCTCCTCGATTTCTTGGTTGACATTATCAAGGTGTACTCTCATCACATTTACAAGCTTTCTCTGCGGGTGCCCTACCTTATTCAGAACTATAGCATTGGCTATATTGATGAAGCCGCAAGTGCACATAATGTCGCCTTCAATCAAATGGTTACTAAACACCAAAAGAATAATTTCTCTGGTGGGAAACTAAGCGACAAAACATAAGTACATCGGAAGTGCTCATGAAGGTCGAATAATCAATACAAATCCCTTCGTCACACGTGATTTCATCTGCTTATTCTGAATCTTGTCTCCAGAGTCATCCTTCTCCTGCTATTCTCTAAGTCTTAGCACATAGGACGAGCGGAGTCCACCTTCATCGGCGGCAAGAGTCCGAGTTCTCCCAACTCTTGGAACGTCTCAAAGAGACTCTCAGTCGTGTCAACGAATCCAGTCCACCCAAGCCGTTTCGCCTTGTTCATACAAGGGCTTCCAGCCCGAAGGTACGCATACTCAGACATGGAGAAAGCCTCAGGGTCCGCGAATGGGTCATTCGTGATCTTGCCTCCAGACTCCTTCATGATCTCGCGCCAAGCAACAGCATTCTCCTCCTCCTTTGCCCAGTCGGCAAGAGTGAAACGCGTCTTGGAAGAGAAAGGAGGGCCGTAGCCGAGGGGCGCCTTCTTCCCCGACTTTCCAGATATCTTCGTCTCAAGGCCAGACTCGTCGTCCGGTGGGGGCACCACCTTCTCAACACCGAACCAGCGAGCCAGCTCAGGGAAGAAGCGCTCCCACACCAGCGGGCCTCCGTCCTGGGCGTTGAAGTTCTCGTTGGCGCAGTCTTTGTTCAGGGCTGCCCACTCGGTCAGGTAGCCAGTCATTCGTGCCGAGCCGTGGTAGGTCTCATACTGCCACGCCTCCCAGTCTCCTCCAAAAACGAGAGGCTCACCCTTGCGTGCTTGCACGGCAGCGTAGATGCCGAACAGGTAGAACATGTTCATTCCCGCTTGTGACGAGCTTCCGATGATAGCGCAGGGCATGATGATGTTCCATGCTGTGCCATACCTTTGGCAGAAGGCTCTGAGCAAGTCCTCCTGCGGGTAGTAGAAGTTGGGCTGCAGGTGTCTTGGCTGGGGGTCAGACTCGAGAAGGGGGGTTCGTCCGCGACCAATGTGCACACCATGGCTCTTGCCGCCGGTCTGGAGAATGAAACGAGTTGGCTTGATGTCCGCCAACTCCAACGCCTCGAGGAAGTTCTTGAGGAGGGCAACGTTGCTTTCCACAAGACCATCGACATCAGTCCAGAGCTTATGGATATAGGAGTAGTAGAAGATGTAATCAGCTCGCACGCCAGCCTCTTTCATGCTCTTGGCAATCGAAGCAGGCTCATCGAGAAAGTCACAAGTAACAATCTCGATTCTGGAACGAGCATCGGCAGACAAGAGATTCATCATCTCTTCCGGGGGAGGACGGCGAGAGAGACAGAAGATGGTCTTCCACCGCTTAGGGCTATCCAAAAGAGCCCGCATCGTGTTGAAACCGGAGATACCATTGGCACCGGTAATGATGGCAGTGAGACCTTCAACGGACTCGTCAAAGGTTGGAAGATTTCTGTAGATGCCAATCTGGCGGAGGGCTGAGAACGAGGGGCTCATGATGAAGACTTGTTGGCTGGGATGTAAGTGATGATTGTCAATGAAGATGAGAAAAGAAGATGCTTTAAGAGTGTGCTCAGACAAGACATGAAGGCGAGTTCTCACTCATCTTTAAGTAGCAAATCCTTTCCTCTCCCTATCTGTCTCTACTCAACTAAGATCGACTCTATCAGTCTCATCTTTGCCTATCTCTGGTCTGTTTCTCTTTCCCGTATCAGGCCCCAGCATTGACACGGTGCGTCATATTGTTCACCCACACAAGGGGTTCTCACATTTCTCGGCGGCTTTCCGTCATAGACTAGGGAATATGCACGCCGTCACAGTGCGAAAAACTTCCGGATCGGACCCGGCCTCATATAATCGGGCTTGAGGCGAAATTGACCGATGTGGGACCCCTTGGACGCGGCCATAAATGGTCCACAGATGTCCGTTTCGGGCCAGTTGGAGCGCGGCCAAAGTGCAATTTTGGCGCCGGGCCAAGCGTCGACGCCATTCACGGCCCTCACAGTGCTATAGGACAATTATGTGGGGCGGCCCCTTTTCCATCCAGTCTTTGCTTGTCTTTTGAATGGGAATGTCTGACCGAGTTGCTTTTTCCCGCTGGGGGTTACGCGGATTGCTGACCTGGCCCGAAGTCCGTCTTGGGTTTCCGAGTCATCAAACGCATGTGGTGTAACAGTGGAAGGGTTTTCATCCAGATTCAGGTAGAGTGGTGGTAGTGAAGTCGTCTCATTTGGTAAAGGGTGGTTACATTCCGTGTGAGCCGCCTCTTATCTCATCCTTCCGTGTTGATCTCCCGAGTTACGAGTAGTCAATTGTGATAGCAGATGCGCCGATGTTGAACGGAGTTAAAGATAGTCATTTGAGGAGGTGATACGATAGTCTACTACATACAAATTTACCATACTCTCCTTGGCCTCTCCCATTCATTGACGCAGGAGCACTCGGTAATCACAAAGGGCTTTGCCGTCTCCGTTGCCTCGACAGACAGGGCACTTCTGGGCGTGGGCAATAGGCTGAGAGTGTAACTCAAACTTCAGCTCATTCGGCGTTCGAGCATCTAGACTGGCCTGCGCCAGCTCCCATAATGCATCACGTGGTCTCAACCCCAGAGACCTGTGATGTGGTAAGTGTGGGTGTCCACAGCAAAGACATCCTGATTCAGGCAGATGCGCATCAAACAGAACACGCCATTGGATCCAAGACCCCAGTAGCCGACCACGTCCTTGACAACTTCTTCATCGCTTGCATTGAAGGGGTGCTGAAGATCCCACTTGTCCAACAGCTGCATGGGAATCTTGGTCTCCTTGCTCTGCATCCCGCCGGGTCGCAGCGCCTCCACTAACCTCTCCATACTGCCCTCCACAATTCCCTCCCAGTTGGACAGGGACCCGTACACATCTCCTTCATGTTCTTCATGGCACGCTTGGCATTGTTCCAACTGGTCGCCTGGCTGAGAGCAGCTATCACCAAAGCATCCATCACATACAGGCACTCTTGAGCTGGAACATCTGGATCTGCATAGAGTTCCCGAATCACATCTCCATGAAGCCCTTCCGGGGTATATAAGCGACCTGACATTCGTCATGGGTCGGTTGGAGGAAGTTGGGGTATGGAGATGACTGGGCATGTTAAAACCAGGCGGCAAACCTCTTTCCAGAGAGTTTTTGGGCTGAAGGCGGTGAGCCGACGAATTCATCGTCAGCAGGGTTTGCCTTGAAATCAACAATCCTGTTCTCGTTCTTCTTCTTCTTAAACTTTGGCGTCTTCTTATCAGTGACTTTCTTTGTGATTGATGAAGATTTCCGACGCGTCTTGCGCTAAATATTGGCTTTCAACTCGTCGGAAAGTGTGCAATCGGAGTCATTGTGCGTTATTTTGGGCGATGTAGAGCTGGGATTTTCTGTCTGGGTAGCTGATCGCGTGCGTATTGTTGTTGGGATTAACAGTGATGCCCTGTTTATGGGACTGGTGTTAAAACTTGTTCTGGTCTAGGCGGGTCTCAGGAGAAGGTATAATCGTGCGAGACAGACCCCTACGCGCATCTGCGTGATATGACTGGGAAACAGTTCCAAATTTGCTGATCTTCTCATGCTAGGTCAGGTCTCCAACATGTCTCATTCATAAGTTCTCACGGACAATTTTATAAGTGTTGTTGTCCGACACAGAAGCCATCTCTCTTGATGACGGCATTCGCAGTCCCTGTCGATCTAAGCGCAAGCCCCCCTAACCGTCCGATCGATCCACGCCACTCAAGGGCTAGTAGGGGATTTGCGCTCCAAATCACTAAAACCTAGTACCGGTACATCGTTGCGTGCCCCAAAGGCCACCATTGTTGGAGTCATTAAGACAGCCAAATGTGAAAATGCTCCTCATCGAGCTTAACCTGAAAACGTACTCTGATTCTCGAGTTTCTACGGTCCCGAGCAATGTCTAATTTGGCAACGACGAGGCAGCCACCAATGGCCCAGATCCCAATCGAAGAATGGCCAAAAACACTAAAACGCTTATCAAAATCAGAAAAGAAGGAAACCTAAACACGAACCTTGTCATATCCTGTTCCTCTCTGAAGCACCACCAACTTGTCTCGTCCACAAGTCCTTGTATCTGTTACCTTGCGCCAACAATTCTTCGTGCGTACCACTTTCAACCACTCTACCGTCGTGTATGACCACAATCTTGTCCGAGTTGACAACCGTTGAGAGTCTGTGCGCAATAACAAACGTCGTCCTGCCACTCTTCAAAGTCTCCAAAGCATGCTGAATATTCGCCTCAGTCATCGTATCAACCGCACTCGTCGCCTCGTCGAGAATCAGAATGGGCGGATCCTTTAGAAATACCCGCGCAATGGCAAGTCTCTGGATTTCACCGCCGGAAAGTTTGACCCCCTGCTCGCCAACCTTGCTCTCGTAGCCGTCGGCGAAACTCAGGATCCGATCGTGGATCGCAGCAGCCCGACATGCCTCGAAAACGTCTTCGTCTGTCGCAGATGGCCGTGCGTAACGCAAATTTTCCATGACGGATGCGTTAAACAGCAAGGGGTCCTGCGGAACAACCCCAAGGGCTTCGCGAAGCGATGTGAGAGTGACGTCGCGAATGTCTTGGCCGTCAATGGTGATACGACCGCTTGTGACATCGTAAAACCGCAGCAGCAATTTCATGATTGATGACTTTCCAGCGCCCGTCTCTCCGACCAAGGCGATAGTCTTTCCTGGTGCTGCTGACACGTCCAGCTGTTCAATAGTCTGTCTCCTCGGATCGTAGGCAAAGCCGACATTCTCAAATGCGACGTGGCCTTTGACGGGCGTGAGGTTCTTGGCGTTCTCCCTTTCGACGATGGTTGACTTGGTCAGTAGTAGATTGAGAAGGCGTTCGGCATCCACCAAGTCTGACATCAAGTACCGGTAATTGTGTGAGAGGAATTTGAGGGGCCAGACCAGATACTCCCAGTATGTTAAGAGCAACACAAAATCTCCAGGGGAAGCTCGGCCGTTGGTGATCTCATACAGTACCAGGCATGCTAGCACAAAAAATGTCACTGGCACGGTCGCCTCCAGGAGAGCCTGAATGAAAGCATCGCCGACTCCATATCGACGGCTAGCGGCGAGTTGCGAGTCTACAGCCTGGCCGAAGCGGCGCTTCTCGAAATTGAACATGTTGAAATACGTGACGGTCTGCCATCCTTGAACAGCCTGGTGCATGATTCTCGCTTCCTCTCTTTCAGCTTTGCTTGACGCCCTGCGATTCGCAAGGTTCATGTTTGAAGTAACGACCTCCAAGGTTGTGAAAGCCACAGAAGCCACAAGCATAGCCAAAGAGACGTAGGCGTTGAATTTCCAGTACAGGAACCAGAGTGCGATGAACATGTCCGCAACTGTCGGCAATATGTCAATAACGGCGGTTTCGAGCAGATTGCTAAGAGCTCCACCCTGCTCAATGGCCTTCATGACTTCTGCAGAGTCTCTCTCAGCGTGGAACTCCATGGGGAGGTTCATGACGTGACTGAAGGCGGCATTGGTGATCTGTCTGTATGAAAACTGCTTGATGGGGATTTTCGCGAGTGCTTCAATCAAACCCAGACCCGACTCGCCACTGATGAGACTTAGAAGCAACCATATGGCCAGTGCACCGTACGGTGCTTCTTTCGCCAGGATTTTGTCTGTGACGATGCCGAGTTGACGGGGGATCAGGATGATCATTGCTCTTCCACCTGCTATGCACAGGAGGCAGAGAACAATTGAAAGTTGAACTTTTCTGTCGTTTCTGGGTATCAGAAGCGGGACAAAAATTTTGAAGTCTTTCAAATATCCCAGCCATCCGCCCGTCTCTTCTAGTCTCTTGGCTCGTCGACGCTTGATGCTGGCACTATCGTCGTCGTCATCGTCTGTATCTTCGTCTTCGGAGCCATCACTGGCGATCTCGGTATCGGTATCATCCCTGAAGCGTTCGGTTCCATAGTCTGCAGGCCCTTCTTGTTCATGCGATCCAAGGAAAGGTTGACTTTCTGCTGAGCAGGCTCCGCTGCTACCGCCCTGATTGGTAGTGCTGGCCAAAGCAACCAAAACTAAACCGGCAATGACAAAGATTCGAGCTCCTTGGCAAACAAGACAAACAACGTCGGGGGTAGAAAATGATCGTCCACGAACATTGAGAACCAGCAGAGGAATCTCGAGCAAGAATGTTGCAGTGCAGGCGCCGAGCAAAAGTCTTGGCACATTCCCATTAGAACAAAGCGCTATCCACGCGAGAGTTGACAGCAAGACGTGGATAATGTGAGCTTGCTCCTCATTGAAAGCGCCGGGCTGAAATGTTGCAGCAACTAGTTCAGAGACGTATGTAAGAATGACGATGAGTTTCGCAACTTTCTCGGGTTTTGATCGGCGATGTTTGTAATCTTTCGTTGATGTGTGTTTCCTCTTGGCTTGGCCTGACTGAACTGAAGCCGAAAGGCCGATGAGCACGGCGCTCAGGGCACAGCCGTAGTGCAGGGCCTGCGAGGCTTGTGAAGGGGAGATCATCGTGAAGGAGTCGATAAAGATGAGAGTGAAACTCAAACTAAACATTGGCAACTCACTCTCTGTCTTAAGTAGTTGATGAGAAACATTTTTTTGTAGTCTACTCTTTACTTAAGGTTTCCCGGGGATAACCGTGCTGTGCACCAAAAATCTGACGCTATGACATCTTACCCTGTGTAACACTGCCGTACCGGTAGATGCCTTGAGTTCATCGCCGCATCGGTAGCGCTGATAATTTTCCCCATAGACATTTACGATCTACCCGGAATGGGATTGTAGGCTTTACTGAAGTGCCGTGGTCCAATCCACTTTTCTTCACCTTGAAACTAAGCCTCGGGCCGCGTCTGACTCATCTCTCCGGCCCAGTATGATTCACTTCTCATCATCGCGTAACGGAACATTCGGGCCCCGATACGTTGGAAATGTCGACGTTCAAGGTGCTCGTATAACGGTGGGCATTCTTGACTGCGGGACACAGAGCCACTGAGGCCAAAATAAATTACGACCACCGCGAGTTAGACTGGCATGACTAGGGGAAAAGGTCAACAAATTTTTATCCTCAATTCGCACAATGGTGGCTGAGGACCAGCAACGAGCTCAATTGCAACGTCGGGAATGACTCAGAGGTAAGTATCTTGCGAGATTGTCTACAGGTTGATGCTGCAATTGGGCAGATTTTGAACGCCATGATGACTGCGATTTCATATGCTCGACAGGCCCAATTACGATAGAGTGGCAATATCCAAGACTCATACCATCCTTGTCTCTTACATTCAATGCTTCTTCTTTGGAGTACCGATCAACATCTTTCATTTACTGCCCAGAGCAATTGCAGCCATCTGTTTCGTCACAATGGAGATTGGCGCGGTACCCTTCGACTCTTCAACTTCAGCCAATATCTTCGCCTTGGCCTGTCGCTCAATCCAGTCTTTTGCGCCATTGTAGGTACAATTATAGTCCATGAACTCAGCCGGATTCCTGTGATTATTAGCGACAGAATCACTTGCTCAATTCTAATAACTGACATCTTGATCTTGTTGTTGCCCTTGTCTGTCGCAGGCTTTCCGGACTCTCTACTGTAGCCTTGGATGAGTGTGGCCCTCTCGTACCGACAGTCGAATACTATCTGTTGAAATGTTAGCCACTGAGCCTCAACATCAATGGCTAATAGGATTGTCACCTTCAGTCTCTCTGTAATCTGCGATCGGGTCGGCTTTTCCTTGATGTCTGAAAAGATGGCTCCTAGAGCCTCTGCATCCTCGATTGCCTGACTGGCCCCCTGTCCTTGAGTCGGCAGCATCGGATGCGCGGCATCACCGATAATAATTGCACGTTTGCAGTACCAAGTATCCAAAGGGTCCTAAACGAGTGTCAGATCTTTTACTCCAAATATTCGATTGGGCTCTAGCCTTACTAGGTCGCGAAGCTGCCACAATCCAACTTCTGTGCAGTTCTTGAAAACAGCCTTGGCCCATTTTGGAAAAACGTCAAATGTT